CAAAATAGGTCTCATCACAGCAGATGCTTTTATTTTTTTCACTTTTTCCTTGCTAGAGTGGCATCACTCAAAAACGAATGAACTAAGAAATAACATTGCTCTCCCTTTCTTCCCCTTCCCCCCGCCCCCATCAATTTATATACATAGGGTCCAAGGTGAGACTTGTGTACTGGATTCTGGTAATCCAAATGCATTTAAGTGAGGATTAAGCACTTCAAATGTATCAAGGATTAAAGTGAGAGAACTTTTACTCTATTTTAAAAGGCATCAACTATTAGCAACAGCTCTGAACATGATTATTCTACTTGCCTACCTCCTTATGTTAGTTTCCTCTTGCTGCTGTAACAAATTACCACTAATTTAGTGGCTTACAACATCACAAATTTATTATCTCACAGTGCTGCAAATCAGAAGTCCAAAATGGGTCTCACTGGGCTAAAATCAAAGTGTTAGGTTCCTTCTAGAGGCTACAGATAACAATCCGTTTCCTTACCTTTCGCAGCATCTAGAGGCCTCCGCACTCCTCGGCTTGTGATCTCCATCCTGCTGTAGATTCCGACGCAGCACTACAGCACCTTCAAATCCCTTTTCGACTCTGACCTCTGACCTCTTCTACTTTAAAGGACCCTTAGGATTACATTACGCTCACCTGGATAGTTCAGAACACTCCATCTTAAAGTCAGCTGATTGGCATTCTTGACTCTATCTGAAACGGTAATTCCCTGTTGCTGTGTCACATAACATATTCACAGGTTCCAAAGATTAGGGGCTCATTATTCTGCCTATCAGCTCCTCACCATTCCCTGGAGAATAGAAGGCAGCTACACTAAATACAGAGTATTTTTTCCTTCCTTTTAATATATTTTCTTCTGAAACAAGCAATGCATTTTATAGTGACTTGGGACTTGTTTTAGTGGCTGTCTGTTATTTACTCATTCAAAGATTATTGGGTATCTGATATGGGATGGCCCCAGGGGAACAGTAGTGATGAGGACCCAAGACTGGCTTTCAAAGGACTCACAAGTTTAATGAGAGAATCAGATAAGTAACCAGAGTCTTAAAGGAGCACAAACGACTCACCAGAAAAACTCATTCCAATGCATTCGAGACCAGGGTGGTTCCAGAAATCCTTCCGAATGGAGGTGAACAAACCTTGAGGAAGGGAATGTGCCAATCATTATAAAATCTTACAAGGTGCATAGTCATGGAAGAACATGGCATATCTAGTGAATAAGTAGAACAGTGTAGCTGGAACTACGTTTTGCACATGGGGATAAGAGGGAAGAGGATACAGGAAAGGTTGACAAGGTCCAGCTTATGAAAGCCCTTGAGTACATGAGAGTTTTGAGCTTCTATCATGTAAAAAAGGGTGACCCAATAAGGAATATCATCTATTTCTAGAAAAATACAGTTGGCATCGTAGATGAAGGATTGAAGTAGGGACAAATAGGATTTTCCTGCTGTTGCTACTACTACTACTACTACAATTAATACTATTACATTTCCTTTGAAGCTGAAAGAAGTAAGTTGAATGTTTGCCAATAGAAAATAATTTTGAAAATTATCTCTACTTAATCTTCACAGTAACCCTGAAACAGGTCTTATGTTTATCCCTATTTTAAAGGTGAGAAAACTGAGGCTTAGAGAGATTAATTTTCTCCTGAAACATATTCTGTAAAACAAGCAGCTGGGATCAAAATTTATACCTCTGTGCCCAGAATCCTCTTAAAGTTCCCAAAGGCAGATTTATCTTGACGTTCTCACGCTGAATCTTCTGGTTATCTTACTGGCATGGGCCCATCCCCAAACTTGATGAATAGAGGGAGGAAGCAGCAACCTGCTCAGTCACATGGCAGAGTCACAGAGCACTGTTTCACTCTGGGGACCACCACACCCACCAGGACACAAGACAACACCCTGTGTAGCCTAGGGGAGCATCCACAATAATCTTGACCTCAAGTAAAATGAACCCCAAGAGATGCTGCTCTACTCCAAGCTTAGAGGCCATTTTCACCTTGGCCTACTGGCCTCCGGGTCCTGTGAGGACCTGAATGAGCTAGACCACGACTACTGGGGTCAAAGGGCTGGAATTCTCTGAGAAACCACCTGGGATGATATCGCTAATATGCAGAATCTAAAACAAAAATGATGCAAATGAACTTATTTACAAAACAGAAACAGACTCACAGACTTAGAGAACAAACTTATGGGTACCAGGGGGGAAGAATGGGGTGGGGGGAGGGATAAACTGGGAGTTTGGGACTGACATGTACACACTGCTATATTTAAAATGGATAACCAACGAGGACCTACTGTATAGTACAGGGAACTCTGCTCAATATACTGTAACCTGAATGGGAAAAGAATTTGAAAAAGAACAGATACATGCATATGTAACACTGAATCAGTTTGCTGTACACCTGAAACTAACACAACATTGTTAATCAACTATGCTCCAATGTAAAATAAAAATTTAAAAAATTAATTCAACCACACAAAAAGGTTACTTTGGAGAAATTACATTGGAACATTATCAACGGGAGTTAGGAAGCCAAAATAAATTTTGAAACAATCAATTAAAAAGCTTATTCAACCATCCTAGAGAAAAGATTGTTATCTTTCTATTTGCTCTGTGAAAAATATTACAAAACTGTTACCTACAAGGAGAGGACCAAAGAGGATGCAGCCAAAAAGTGTAGGGAAAAACAGGGAAGTGGACTGGGCAATTAATTCTCTTTCTAAAAAGATATTTTGCTTTGTAATATTATTATTTTTTTTTAATGAGATGTCACTAAATTTTATGAGCTTCAGGACAAAAAGGACGTGGATCGACCCTGGACTACAATTATAATTTAGGTAGGAAATGAGGATCTGGACAAAGACCACAGGGATGATGAGTAGGGAAGGGACTTGATAAATATTAGGTGGTAGAGGGGATGGGACTGAGTGGACGGGTAGGAGTGGTATTTAGGAATGGTTGAGCCTTTCCAGAGACCAAACTGGTGCAATTCACCTAGAAATTTGTACAGTAGGTGGAAAAAGATTTGTATTATTTTGAAGATTTTTAGTTCGATACACCTGTGGCGTACTCAAGAAAAGTAAATAGGCAGCAAAAATATAAACTGAATTCAAAAACAGTTGAATTAGAGATACAGAATAGGGAGTCCTAGGTGTATAGGTATATGTAAAACCATAAATTAGGTGATGTTTATGCAGTAAATATAAGGAAACATATATAATGAGTAAAACAGCGTTGGGGAAGGCAATGATAGATGGAGAGAGAGAAGCCAATGAGCCTGGGCTGAAATTAAAAATATTTAATAACCTATATAAAAGTATGAGTGGATCAAAATATTTTAAAATTCCCTTTAATTTTTCAAAGAAAATATCTAATTCTCCAAAGATTTCTATCTATGTATCTATGTACCTATCTATCTAATATCTATCTACTCCTCTAATGGAATATATTTTGGTGTAAGTAATCTATCAAATTTTTCCAATGATTTTCAACTCACTTGTTTCATCTGATGTAGCTGTTGCTAGTTGAATAACTCTGGTCCTTGAACTGTGCTCTGACATGGCAACAATATCAAACTCTTCCAACAACTTCTTTATACGTTTGTAGTCATTAGTCAACCCTGAATGTGTTTTTTCTTAGAGCAATTGACTCAATGAGATCAACTGGATATCTGGATAGAAAAATGGAGTAAGAGAGAGAGACTTTTGAACCTGCTATGACTCTGCTTCCATTTGTAAGATGTTAGACTATATTATTCTACTAGGATTTTTTTCTATTACTCTAGTCTATTATTATATTATGAATTTTTAACTTGTATTATTTTATATGGGTTTTCTAAATATTTAATTTTTATACATTTAGCATTAACACATTTTACAACTAGTATTCTCTATTACTTTAGTTTTCTGTAAGTTTTAGAGTTTATAAAATTACTTACATTATTTTAACAAAACTCTCTGAAAATGTAGAATGGCCAGATATTGCTTTGAGGCTTTCTAAGTCAGACTTGGTAGTTGTTGTTTTGTCTCTCTTCCAGAATGCAAAATTAACTGACAGACACTTAATCCTAATTTGGGGTTTTGCCTTATTCTTTCTCCCTCCTTCATTACTTCCCTTCTTTATTTTTTCCCTGCTTCCCCCTTTTTCATCCTCTTCTCTTGCTCCTTCCTAATAATTTAAAATAAACCCACTATTCAAATGCCTGATTTATGAATTCCCTAAACTTTTAATGAATTGAGGCAATGAAGCACCCAGGACCTGGTTTCTATCCCTATGCCCTCACTCACATTCTCTGATTCAGGAGCTCCTTCTTTCTCCTTCTCTCTTCATGTAAAAGTCTACTTACCCTGGAAAGCCATTTACAGATTTACCTTCTCTAGAGGATTTTTTAAAATACCTTCAACCAAATCACCTGTCCTCATTTGAATACGTATCATATTTTGCTTACCTTGGTTCTTACCTTGGTCAATAATTTACTTAACTCTTCCAGTAGACGGAAAGACACTTAAAGAAGAGATTGTATCATTAAAAAAATTCTTTAATTTCTTCAACCCCTTTGTAAAATACCGTGTACCTAGTCAGTGCCCATGAGATATCTGCTGAAGTCAGTTACACAAAATAAAATCAGAAATCAGTTTCATCCAGAAAATTCAATGTAAGCCCTTACAGAACCCCCAGCCTAGTCTTTCAGTCCCCATGATTCTATCATCCGGTTTGCTGGCATTCCTGGAATCTCTGAAATTGGTGGAATAATGTTCACAGCAGCACCTTGGGGCCAAAGCACCACAAAGTAGAATGGTTTGATTCTTAATGACAACAAATTCCACCCCCAAATACCCAGCCTCCTTTCTCCCTGACAAAAGACAGGTGGTCTGTCTGGTACCCCCAGTGGATATTCACTGGGGTAGACTGACTGTCAATTGCTTGGAGAGTTCATTTACGGAAAAAATCAGGGCAAAATGGCGGTAAGGAATGACACAACTGAATGGTTAACATTTTTATTTCAAAAAAGCAGGATACTGTATATAACACTTTCTGAGAAAATAATTAAGATAGTATAATGAAATGAATTCCATGTTTTTAAGCACAATACAGATGTATAGAATCCTTTAAATGTGAGTTTATTCAAACTTTATTTAAATACAATGCACTTTAGTTGAGAGATTTAAGGGGTGATTTCTGCATTTCACAAAATACAAGTTCTTCTGCAAGTTTGTTTGTTTATTTATTTATTTAAACTTTACATCCTCAACATATATTACAAGGGCTTAATATTTTAATTTAGAACATACGTAGTGTATTTGAATAGCTCTTTGGGCTAATATGTGCCAAGAAAGGTACATTGTCCTTTTAATAACCAATTAAAAACAGACTAACTTTGACACAAAAAGGAATGGGGTCATAAGTTTCGTCTTATTCAAGTAGAATACAGTCTGAGATTCAAAACAGATTCTTCCTTGAAAACTGCAGTTGTTTCCCATCCTCCTAAACAAGGACAAAAGAACAAAATGCAAAAAAATATGTCATTCATTAATTCTCATTGGATTTAAATCTTCCCCTGCAGTAGAATACACTAAATATCTGAGTCTTTTGCTTTATTCTGGCTATAATCACATAAACTGTTTAAAAAATAAAAACTTTTAAAATTCTGTTTTCTTCACTTTCTTCCAGATATTTTCTCCTGCCACAATAAATTGACCAGCACTCTTAGCGTCAGATACACATGGTACACACATGTAAGTGAAGAAATACATTTATGTCCTTTAAAATTCCTGGATCTACACAGACACCTCCTTTCCTGTTAGAAGCATAGATATCCAGGTTTATTCTGGAATCTCTATTTATCTCCTCAGCGTATGGCAATGTTTAGCAAAGTGCATATCTCTTTTCCCCTTTTCCTCTGACCCCTGCGATCCCCGTTTAATTTTTACTCAAGAGCTTCATCCACTTAAAACTTTGTACAACTATATCTGCTGTATTTAAAAGAGGTTGACTCAACAACGCAAACACTCACCTACACACACGTAAGAAAAGTTTCCATCTTCCAAAGCTAACATTATTTAATATTCCTATATACCATGGAGCTTTCAGTTTGGAGTTTTTCTTAAAATATATATCCTTCACTTGAAGCTGTCATAAAAATGGGGAGAACACCTTCTCTGATTTCAAAACCATCAAAGTAGGTTTTTAAAAACTACTTTCCAAACCCCAGGAGTAGTATACTCGAAGGGCAAGCTCATCAGTATCTTTAGAAAATGAGTTGGGAAAAGTAAAGTTTGATTCCTATTTGAACATTTATTATTGGTACCAATGAATCCTACCGACTGAGAATGTAACTACGATCATCACTAATTATGATATACCTACAGTGAAGTAAAGCTGCATCCCATTATTTCAACGATTGAAGTCTGATAGGCCGGCTGTTTGATTTCTCTCATCCCACTGTCTATTCAACAGCTTTTCATTGCACAGACTGTTAAAAATGATTCACAAACTGTTGCCGCCTTCAAACTATATACTATAAAAGGTAGCCAAGAAATAATGGTATGTTGTACTGGACATAAAGTAATTAGTGGCTTCAGAATATGTTTTTGACACAAAGCCTGCCTGCCCATTGTAGAAAATTTTGTCAGTTTATGTGAAAATATTTATTACCTGTAACCATAGATACACAAAATCAATGTGTGTGTTATGTAACATGACACCAGTAATGCATTTGTTACTGCTTTGAGATTTCTTCTGGTCTTGATTACAGCTCTGCCAAATAACTTTTTTTTTTTTTTATTATACAAGGGCAAGTGATTGCTGTGCTACATTTGCAATTGTAATGATAATTTTCCTGAGAATGTTAAATTATGTCTTAATTTATTCAAAAGATTTTATTTTCAAAGCAATTAAACTTATTGTTGATTGATATTTACCATCCAATGTTCCTGGAACACTAAAAGAATACGCTTTATACATAATCTTCCATTATAGCACAATGCTTGAGGGTAGCCATTTTACATAACAGCATTCAGTTGAGTCTTCAAATCAAAGAACAAAAATTATAGCAATTTCACTTGAAATCCATAAATCCATGCTCAGGATTATGTTCAACAGAATCACTAAATGTTATTTGTAATTCAAAGATGAATGAATCAATAGAAAAATAGAACTGATAAATCATTAGTACTTTAATGCAGAGTGGAGAGAGAAACTAATAAATCATGCACTTCAAGCACTTGTTTTCCTTATGGCACATTTGAAAACATAAAACATACAATGATAAGATGCAGGTCAATATGAATGAACAATACCAAATCTGCTCAGAACAGCATTTCATTTTATATCATAGGCTTAATGAAACACTTAAAAAATACTATTCCATAATTTCTTCAAACAATCAGAGAATCCACCCAGGCCATGAAATACTTTAACAACAATCTAGGCCGTTATTTCCAAATAAATATTTGAAATGTCACAGAGATGGGAGTAGAGGCGGTGAGGGGGAGGGTGCAAATGCATGCATGATTAACTTCAATGAGCTCAATATTATTACAGGTATCAATTTATACTAGAAAGGAACTGATACAATCATTTACTTTCTCAAGTGTACTTAACTGACCCATTAAAAATTACAGACGTCTATACTTATAAATGGCCAAAAAAGCAAGAAATCAGCCGTTGAGCTTTGATTGTGTTGTACGGCTTATTGTCTGTGAAAAGTGAGAATTTTAATTATAATTAATGGGTAATTCACTCTCTTCCAGAGTTTTAGTCATCACAAAATTGCACATTAGAACCATAGATTTTCTCCACAATGCTTAATTAATTATGCATTAACCCATTTCTCTCAAAGCATCTTTTTCTGAATCTTTGGTGGGAAACACAGTTTATTAGGCACATAGTTTCAAACATCTATTTGGTTACTGTTGTGATTAAGAATTTTCTTCTAAATTCACATGCAGAAGGGAATAAGGCTTGCCATGTTAACATACTTTACTGCCAAGTAATATGTTTCCACTTATGTCTGGAATTAAAAACAAAACTAAACAAACTAAAAACCACTTCCTACTTCTTAGCATAAGAATACTTTATACCTGATATCTTAAATTCCACTCAGAAGCATCAAGATGTCGAAGAAAAACTACTTAGATACAGCAAGTAGACAACTATTTAACAAAACCTTTCAATTAAAAGCTTCTCCTCAACTCACAGGTCAAAGATCATTGATATACTGTTTGATTCTAAAGGGAAAAGTATAGCAATCTGCAATTATGATTATTGTAGCATTATTAAGTAGTGCTTATTAATAACTGGAATCACATTTCCCGTGATATTTCCTTTTTTTGTTGTACAGGTTTTTTTTACAGGTTAGTAAATGGAAATTGGAGAAGGAATGGGTAGGAGACAAAAAAATTTATGGGAATGCATGCAACAAAAATAGGCAGTATCACTTCATGTAAACTTCTGCTTTCTTCATGCAAAGATGCTTATAAAAACTGAGACATTAAATTTTCTAATAGCTGGATTTTACATTAACTCAGTAACAAAAACTGTTAAACCAATTCCATGATTTTGCATGAGCAGGAGACTTGAAATTGTTCAACGATTTCCAGCATAAGTGTTCCATGGCCCAATTATGCTAATTAAATCTCTAAGAATGAAAAGATACAGGATTATTCCTTGCTTCGGTTTCTTGTTCTTTTGATGAGGGAGCAGAACAACCCGGTTTTTGGAGGAGGGCCCATCAGCATCGGGGCTTGGTTCTTGTGCATAATTTTTATCTAGGGGAAAAAAAAGACAAAGAGGGTACAGTAATCTCCAGATACAACACCAATTTCTGAGAATCTCTCTTAAGGTTAATAATATCCCCTGAATTACTGAAACAACACAAGTGCAAAATGTATTTTCAGAGTTTCTATTATTTCAAAAATATTTTTAAGGAAGATAAGGTATGTTATTTAAACTATATTCCAATGCTCAGGGTGATACCAAGAAATTAAATTTAATTGAAATTACATTTTAAATATCATATTACTTCTAACCTCTCTTGTAATAACACCCCCAAATTCCTTGTTCATGCCACGTGATTAGCTAGTATAATTTATTGACCATTAGTTATGTATTATTTACTTAAGATAGGAAAGGCTGCACCATTATAGTATTCAGAATCCCAGTTATAGCCCAACATCAAGACGTACTTGATATCAAGGCAAGCCTTATTTACTCTGCTAATCAGATTGTTTCTCTCTTTCAATATGAACTGCAGGGCTTAATTTCAAAACAATCATTACGAATGAAAGTCAAAAGTTAGCGTGCATAAAAGGTCAGAAATGATGAACTAGCTTTCTAATTTGTTAATTAATTGGTAATAGAATAGAATCAAATATTGAAAAGCCTGCTTAAAACATTCTGAGAGACTGTTCTAAAGCTACTCTTTTTGATTTCTTTGAAATAAAACTACGAATCACCTTAAATGAGACAACCTTAAAGTAGATTATGTCTGCAATTTTCTCTAATTCAAGCCTAAATTAGAGAAGACATTTTATGAATATATGCTATGCTCAAAGCTAATTGAAAGCAATTATCAAAGTGGCATTTTGTCTGTGACTTTAAGATACATTGTAAGATAATAAATGATTCTCATTATGTAATAAAAAGGTCACATCTTGCCTTTGGGCTAGTGACGCTAAGAGTTTTTCAAAAGCAATCTGAGACATTTTCTTTAGAGAACTGCGACTAATATAAGAACCATCGCTTATTAAATATCAGTTGTCACCAGCACAGCACCCGCATCAGAGATGAGTATTTCTTTCAAAAAGAAACACCACCTCATTAAAAGCTGCGAAAATATATCTCTTAAAGTGCATAGCTGACATTTTCAAGTTAAACTGAATATCCTTCACTTGTCATTGACTAATAGCAATGAAACAAAAAAAAGTGGATGTCACGTGGACACGATCATTAAAATCAGCACTGGGGCTGTTGGGAAATGGAGATTTACTTCACAGTCTAGAAAGACAGAACTATGTTAAAAATCAGGATAAACGAACAACTCTTTATTTAACTCTGTTGGAATCAGGTTATTCTGGGAAGATTCAGTGTTCTTTGTACTGTAAAGATAAATTGCACCTGTAAAAGGCCACCAGGCTAAACCAGCCTCAAACTCTCTGGATATCTGATTTCAATTTATTTTGTTTTTCTTATCTTATGAATTGGGGAATCAATAGCCAGACAGTTAAGATGCTAGACAGCACCTATCTATGTAGATTGAAAAAGATCTCTACCAGATTTTCTCTCCTAATAATTCACTTTCAAATTACGCCCTACCTTATGCCATTGATTTTATACTCCTCTAGAGTATAAAACCTAATACACCATCATTCACTCATTTATTCATTTCACAAAATGTATCAAGCCCCTACTATGCCTCAGGCACTGTACCATGAACCTCTAACAAACAAAGTACAATCTCTACCCTCAGTAAATTATAGTCAAGTAAGAAAGAGAAATTTAACAAGCACATTCAATAGTGTTATAGATGCTGAAATACAAGGCTAAGCAGAAAGGCACTATTTTTTTTTTAACGCTGAAAATAAAAATGAATCTTTTTATAAAAAAATGTTAGTTTAAAATGAGTACCTGATGAGGCAGTTAACACATATTACTTATGTCATAACCTTAGATTCAAACAGAACATAAGTAGCTAAGGTAAAAAAATAAAGATTTCTGATTCACAGTTGCTGGACTAAATCCTTTAGAGGGTATGATAATATTAGGGCCTTTTGGAAAACAAGATCATTATTACCAAATTATTGTTGTTAAGATGTTGGAAGAAATATATCATTCTAGTCACAAAAGATTAGCATCAATTTATGGCAAAGCATAGCCAAAATACCGCAACTTATTGTGTATGAGATTTTGTTTGCCCTTTGTATTTTTTAAGTTATTTGGATTTTCTTTGATCATAGCTATCTTTTTATTAACAATCCCTTTTAAAAGAAATCACATGTTGCTATTCCTTTGAAAAATAGCACAGTATCTCATTCAGTGCTCCTGACACAGTGGGACCCTTAATCCATACTACTGACTAATTCGAATTCTAGGTTATAGTTTCAAAGCAGGATAATGGTCCTATTTTTAAAATTATCTGTAATCTATCTTCTTGGTTGTTTAAGCACTCCTATGGTCAAGGTACACAACTCTTTCTTTAATTTAACATTATTTCCGTACAAAATGCAATCTACATCTTTCTGTCTGTTATTCATAAAAATGAGAAACAATTGGCTGTTTTCCTCTTAGGGGAGATTACATGGAGGAAACTCGCACTCATGAGATGTCTAGTATGTATCCAGGCTCTTTGCATACATTATGTCATCAGATAATTATAGGTCTTTGTATATTTGAGCAGAGCAAAAACTACTCCATTAAGGATGAGAAAAATTCCAGTCCAGGTGAACTGTTGGTACTGTAGTCACAGCAAGTCCAGGTGAGGTTTCAGAAAGCTGTAGAGAACTAAGTGTAATTTAGGTTCAGATGGCCCGTGTTGGGGGAACCTGGTTAAGGGCGCCTCACCAGGCATGGGATGACTCACATGCCTGTTTCAACTCCACATCCTTATATTTTTATTACTACTTTTTTTGAGAACCTGTTACCTACAAGAAAAACAATACGGAGTAAGGAGCAGATTTTATCCCCCAAAGATTTTATTATATTAAGTCTCAGCAATCTGAAAACATGAACCAAACATTAGGTTCTCTTTGAGTGTTTCCATTTTTTTTAAGAGTCAGGTAGTTACTTCTTAGTTGTTTCTCAATACATCAAATATTTATGGAGCACCAGCTATGGGCAAGGCAGTTTGCAAGACTGTTTAGTTTGGAAGAGAACCTGAGATTATAATTGAGAGAGAATTGTGGGCACTCATAAGCAATGGTGATGGGGCTCCTAGGAGCTGGAATGGCTGTACGAAGGTCGAAGAGCATTGCTAAAAATGCAAGATAGATACTGTCAGAATTAGAATGATGTTCTATTAAGAACTCTTCATTTTTACTTATCATCTATTCCTTTGGAAAACAACAGCAGCAAAAGTCTCATGACTCTTTCTACTTCTGTCTTCCTATTTCAAATTAAGATTGGACACATCTAAAAATATAAACAGAAAAAAATTGATTTCAGTTTCAGTTTTATAATTATTCAATATGAAATAAAAATTCACATATACAAACCAGATGAAGGATTATAAGGCACAGTTTTCTTGTTTCTATGACATTGTCAGGGTTGCATGGTGTGATAGAGAGCTCCACCTCATTATTGTAATATGACCAATAATAACAAGAATAAAAATAACAAGATTTGGCTTTTACTGTGTGCTGAGTATTATGCTAAGTGCTTTACACACCGTTATTCACATGCTACCTGTTTCATCCAGCTCTTTGAGTTGCTCTTGACAAAAGTCTACTCCCATAAAAGTAATATTATCAAAGAACATAGAATTGAAAAACAATGTCCTAAAAGGGATAGAAGAGAGGTTTATATCTTACAGTACACGGTGAACAGTGTCTAGTCCCACTAGACTTTCGTGTTCTCTCTGAAGACTTTTAGTCCAACTAAAACTGAGGAAGACTGGAAGGTCTTCCTGCACTCATTCTCCAAGCAGTATTTGGCCCAGCTCATTGCAATTTTCTTTCCTAGCTCCCTGTCTCTCAGCATCAACTATTCCTAATACTCTTCATTGTGAAGAGTAGTTATTTTTCTTCCTCATGTGATAGGAACACCCTACTTAACACCCAGTCCCTGAATGACACATCTACCGAAGCAAGTGCTTATCAAAGCATCCTGATAAGATCGGAATAAAGATGGATCTATTCTGTCTTCAATGAATTCTCATACCTAATATCAAAAGAATATTTTTTCATAATTTTTAAAATATATTATCTAATTTTACCCTCTCAACAACGCTGGGAGGTAGGTGTCAACACCCTTATTTTACGATACAGGACAGAAACTTAGGTTCTGTAACTTGCACTACACCACTCAAGTTGGTAAGTACAAGAGCTGGGTTTTGAAAGCTGACTCAAATCTCCCAAGCACTCCTTGTTAATTCCCACCTCTGCACTTCTGTGTCAATTAGTGCTTTGGAGAACCTTCCCTCAAACTTTGACCCCTGTCCTGCCCAGCTCAAATAACACATTATTTTGAAATTTCAAAGCACAGTGAGATAAAGAAGATTCTAAATGCCCTCTGAGAGGAAAAACAGGTCACTTACAGAAAAATAAAAAACAGCATGGCATTAAGCTTCTCAAAAACATGAGTGGTAGAAGAAAATGGAGAAAAACCTTCAAACCTCAGAAGAAAAGTTAATTTTATCTTAGAATTCTATACTTAGTGGATTGATTAAATGCAAGGGTACAATGAAGATACTTTCATTCATAAAAGGTTCTAGAGAGTTTACCATTTATGTGTCCTTTGAAACATTTTTGAGTGTGTTCTCCAGCAGAACAGATGCGTGAGCTAAGAAAGATTAAAAAAACAGAGGGTCACATTGACAACACCAAATGCTGGTGAGGATGTGGAGCAACAGGAACTCCCATACATAGGTGCTGGGAATGCAAAACGGCGCTGCCACTTTGGAAGACAGTATGGAGGTTTCTTACAAAACTAAATATACTCTTATCATATGATCCAGTGTCTGCACTCCTGGGATTTAACCAAAAAAGGTGAAAACATATGTCTGCACAAAAACCTGTACACAGATGTCTGCAGCAGCTTTTTTCGTAACTGCCAA